TTGTGCAACCGTTGCTGCTATTCCATCTTCAGAACGGAATTTTCCATCACCCCAAACAGGAACGCTGTACCCATTAAAAAAAAATAACTCTTCATTCCCCAAGTCCTGGTCTAAATTATTTTTAAAGGTCGAAATGTTCAGGGAGAGGTTCAGTCCAGTGTGGTATTTATGTGACACTTGGCCAGAAAGATCAAACTGAGGGCTTTTAAAACATTTGCAGCGTGGGAAGTTTTGTCTGTCACCTTTGGTTCAATTCAGGGAGTTTTTGTCACGCACCAGGTTCTGTGCCAGGAGGAATGCAAAGGTGAGTAAGCCCTCTTCTCTGCCGTCAGAATTGTTAACAGTCCGTGGGCACGGGGACAGGCATGCCGACCAGGCAGGAATGTGGCGAGGTGTCCCAACGCCAACAATCCAGAGGGGATGGTGAATAGAGCCCGGTTGTTTTGGAAGGCTTCAAGAGCCTATTCCTCTTTCTGCACTTGCTTTATGACTTAAGAATGATAATTTCTTCAGTAGGTAGGCATGATACATACTATAGTTGGAACCCAGCTTGGAGCACCAGGCTTATTTTCCTACGTGAAATACTTAATATTTTCACTTTGCTCTAACCTGAGTGTGTGTGTTTGCAAATGAGAGAATGAGAGAGAGAGAGAGAGAGAGAGAGGAAGAGATAACAGCTCACTCCCCTTGGCTGCCTTCTACGTCTTCACTTACCCTTCCTTTTCTCTCTCCTCTCCCTACCTCTCCCGCTCCCATATTTCCCATATTCCGTATCCTAGGGCTTAAGGGCTGGCTTCTGGACTAAATCAGCTCCCGCTTTAGGAGGAAAGCAAGGCCCTGCATGGCCTCCTAGGGAAAGTCTAACTCGAGGTGGGTTGTGCTGGTGGGGGCGTGGGTGGGGAGGGGGTTCTAGGCAACGGGGGGCGTCTGGCATCGTCCTGCCATTTTGGGAGTGCCCTGGATACTGGGAGCATCCTTTTCTGTGGGTAGCTTTCTCCGTGGGCTTGGCTCTTTTCTATACCCCTTTCCATTTATCTTTTCTTTTGCGGGGCTTGGGGAGGTAGCTTCAGGAGAAATACTTCATTAATTTGTACGGCCTCAGTTCGAACTTTGTTACAGTTTAGATTGCACGGGCTGGTCTGAAATTAACCTTTGTATCATTTATGAATAAAGAAGCAATGAATAGTCTAACCGGGATTATTTAAACTGCTTAACCGAATAATTGTTTTATCCAGTTCCTTAAAACATCATTTACATATAATTGATGCACTAATTCTACGTGATTATGAATTTAATCCTTAAAGCTAGTCTCTTCATGAATCTCAGCTGAGCTCCACCGTGTTAGCCTCGCTCTCGTTACTGTTTATATTGAAATAATTAAGGCAATTTTCTTTGGACTTATTGTAAAATTCTGGTTGTTTTCCCCAATTAGTACTGATTAGTGAGACTCAACTTCAGCCTGGGCTGTGTTCCAAGGATCACAACCTCCAAAATATGGGTGTCCAAGTTAATTTATCTGTAATAATACAATAGACAATACAAGTAAAGGCAGTTTGGGGCTGGTGAACTTAGAACCTCTAACTGCTCAGACACAAAACCACATCTTGGATAAACGGTGGTGAAATGCACGACGGGGAGCAAGCACGTCCCCAGCCTCTCGACGCAGCCTCTGAGAGCCACCCTTCTGGTCCTTCCTTTGTCTTTCGGAGTGACTCCTAGTCACTCAGATGGTGGGATCAGAATCCTTTCTAGCATTCAGAGCCTGGCGCTGTTGACCACCTGAGTGAGCCGAATGTTAGCATCACTAAGCCTTGGCAAGATGGGTCTGGGAGAACAGCGAACATTTCTCGAGGGCTGACTTGGGCTAGGCACTTCGCCAGGAGCACCATACATGCCTCATTTAATTCTTCCAACGTGGCTTTGAGATAGGTACCATGCTCATACCCATTTTCTTATCAAGGGAATGGGTTTCTAGATGATAGACAACTCTCTCGAGGCCATACGTTCAGTATGTTGCTCAGCGGAGACCCAGAAGCCAGGGGCTCTGCCTCTAGAGCTCGCCCTCCCCTGGCATCTTCACACCCCGCTGGGAGTGCTGAATGAGAATGCTTGGAGAGTGCTTTATAAAGTCCTGGGAAGATCGTGGGCACCCGAATGAGAGGTTGTTGTTCTGGGTTTTAGGCGAGCCTGGAGGTAGGAGGGGGAATTGAAGGGCTGCTGGTCCCATACTGTCCGGCCAGCCCTTGGTTTTTGTGTCCAAAACAGACCCCAAAGGGTTCCTCTTCTCCCGGTTCAGCTTATCTTGTCATTGACAGTTTCTTCCCACACATTTAAAACTTCGTTTCTTAACGGGCTCACCCCCTGCTTCGTTGTTCTTTTCCTTTTCCACTGAGTTTCCATCCTGTTGGCTTGGGAGAATGACCTAGCAGCTCTCAGTAATTCTCATCCTTCCTTCTAAAAGAAACTAGATCATTTCCCAGTGAAGCCAGGCATAAAATAAACAGTGTTAATTCACCAACTATGCCAAAAGGAAAGGAGACAAACCTAGAACAGGTTGTTTTTCTTTAGAGTAACCCTTCAGAAGTTGCTCTGGAGCTGGACCTGAACTTCTATGGGAAAGAATGAATAGTGCCTCAAGAAAGAGTTCTCTAAGATCTTCCCAGATCTAAGGCCTTACAGTGCTGTGATTTAGTTTATTTTTTATTTTAATTCCAGTATAGTTAGCATAGGGTTGTTAGGAGGCTTCCTTTTTCTCCACATTCTCACCAATACTTGTTGTTTCTTGTGTTTTTTAGCCATTCTGACAGGTGTGAGGTGATATTTCATTGTAGTTTTGATTTGCATTTTCCTGATGATGAGTGATGTTGAACATCTTTTCATGTGGCTATTGGCCATCTGGATGTCTCCTTTGGAGAAATGTCTGTTCATGTCTTCTGCCCATTTTTTAATTGGATTATTTGTTTTTTTGGGTGAAGTTTCTTTTTTAAAGAAAATATTCTAACAGAATTAACTTGAACTAAGTGAAAAGAGACAATTAGCCTTTTTGGTCATCATAATAAAAGTATGTTGATTTCATCAGGTCTCTATTTGATTACAACATTGCATAGTTAAGGAATTAGAAATGTTATACTCACTGCAGGGGGACATTTTCTTATAGTTCCGTGAAGTGGAATAAAGATGGAAATGGGAGCTTTCTCAAACTGACTATGGGTAGGATGCTTTGGTAATTGGGTCCACGTGTGGTCTCCGTGGTGGCTGGCCCCAAATTCACATCTCTAGCTCTGCTCTTTGTCTTGTGCTCTAAACTTTTCTAACTGTATCTTGGCAGCCCTGGCTGATACCTACTGGCATGTCATGCTTACTATGTCCAGAATGAGCTCCAATTTCTCTTTCAGAACTGGTTTTCCTCCTGACTTTTAATGCAATCCGTTCTTGTCGTGAGAGCTTTAATGACAGCTCTTGGACCTGTCCAAGTCCTCTGGGTCCCCTCTTTCTTCTGGCCTCTGCTTCTGAGCTTAGATGTATGTTTACCTTCTTCCCTTTCTCCCCTTCCATCAAGTGGGTCACTAAATCCTGTTGCTTTGTTCCGGTTCATTTTTCTTTTATTATATCTCATTTTGCGTTTTTAGGAGCATCTCGTGCCTTCTGACTTAGCAGGTGCTCACTAAGTGCTAGTGAATGAATAAAAATGAATGAATAAAAATTAAGCCCACCAAAGAGCCCAAAAGGTTTCTGTGATTTCTAATGGTACCAGGTCCTTTCAGTTGTTTTGGTTTCTTTTCCAAGGAGAAACTACTGCCCATCTCTCAGTCTTAAAGCTAGACAGACATTTAATATCTTTTAAAGCAGCAATGTGACTTTTGTTCCATATCCTAATGTGTTGTTTTAAAAACCATAGCTGACGCCGTGAATAATGCAGCTGGCTTTGGGTTCAGCGGAGTGGATAAGAATGGAAATTTCTGTTGGGATCTGCTTTCTAACCTAAACATCTGGAAAATTGAGGTGAGTTCATTGTGCTTTTGAATCAAGCTTCCATGGTGAATAAAGCAAATAGTTTGCTCTGCGTTATCCCTGGAAGCTCTTCCTCAGAGTGTCCAAGGGAAAGCGATCAGGGCATGCCCGGTCCAGCAGCCTCCTGGACATTCTGTGTCTTAGAATTTTTCCTGTTTTTTAAAGATACCTACTTTCTTGACAGTTGTAATGGTTCAAGGAATGACATGCAGAAATCTGAAAAAGAGCCAGGAAAATCTTTCTGTGGCTTACATTCCTGTTCTCTCAACTAGAAAGTACAAATGTCATTTTCTCTTGTTTCACCTTCTACTTTCTTCAGTCAATACAGACAGGAAGCTCCTGTATTTAGATTTTTAATATTGCAAGCATTCACTGTGGTTCCTTTTGAACCATTTCTAATCCATTTACTTTTACGAAGAATGGTCATGGCACATAGCTTTTAGGCCACTAGACTCTCTGTGGATTTTGTCTTTCTCTGGCTTTGTTCATGGACCACAGCACTGAAGATGTTCTCATCTTCAGAGGTGGGCTCTTTGGGGCCACATCATTCTTGGTTTTCCTGGCATTGTGAGCCCTCAGAGCAGAGAGGAAGGCCCAGGCTTTGACCCTTTCCTCCTTTCTGCTAGGTGGGAGTAAGGACAATGTTCTCAACTTACAGAAGGGCTGCTTCTCTAGCCAGGTGACTCAGATGTGCTGTTGGTCATGGTTTTCCACCCACCAGAGAGCAGGCAGGTGCCACTGGAGAATCTGAGCAGAAGGGGATATGCATCTAGAGCAAGAAACCAGGGATGTGGAGACTGACTACCTGCTTACCGTTAGGTGGACACTCGGCCAGAAGGAGACATGGTGGATGTTCTCCACCTTCTTAATGCCTGAGGCTTCTCTTCATCTTAAATGGCTTAAACCAAGTTGCAGCCTCCAGAACAACCTTTCTCATTTTTGGGAAAGCAGTGTAGATAATCTTCAAGGTTCTCATTTCTTTCTTTCTTTTTTTTTTTTAAAGATTTTATTTATTTATTTGACAGGGAACACAAGCAGGGGGAGTGGGAGAGGGAGAAGCAGGCTTCCCGTGGAGCAGGGAGCCCGATGCGGGGCTCAATCCCAGGACCCTGGGA